TTTTTTCACACATACAGAAACACACAGAAACACACACACATACACACACAGAGAAACACACACACATACGTACAAACACATGCATATATATATATATATTATATATATACAAATGTTTTAGTGAATGAGACACGTTTTGTACAGCTTAGTAATTTCATTACTTCTATCCACATTACAACGTAGAAAACAAACTTTGAAAACATATTAGCGTCGAACCTTTTGAAAATGGCTAATGAATCCGTCAAAATCACTTGGAATCATTATGGACAGTTTCGGCACTCAGCACTCCCAACAGTTAAACTCTAAGAATAGACTGATTAAAAACTTATAAGTTTTTCTGTGTCTGTCACATTGAATGAAACATGTATAAAAGAAAGGTTGCTGTCAACATTTAAAAAAGGAGTTTCGGCGATGTCCTTGATAAAACTCACTTTCGAACAATCACAGAACCACCAAACATACTCAGTACATACATATAGACAGTTCGGTTAATGACGAAATTCTTTAATAACGGCTTATGAAAACCGAAAGCAATTAGAGGACACTGGATAGTTTATTTTCGAATTCCGCTAGGTAACCAGAAAATTGGCCGAACTAAAGAAAATTAAATAAAATATTTAAAAGAATCTCCAACATTAATAATAAACAAAAATAGCATTAAATACTTACACAGGACACACATGCACCACCCTCTCTGGCAGATTGAATTGTCACCTGTCGAAACTCAGTGCAATCCGTGCTCACATCGACCAACACATCATGAACGATCACAATGCAACTACCAATATATGATAAATATTAGTGGCAAAATACTATAGAGTAACCCAATTAAAGGAAAGCCTCAAAACAGTATAAGCTATTATTATGTAAAATAAACTGCCCGCATATCAATTACCACAAGAGACCAATATATTGAAGTGATTATAATATAATTTATGTGTGTATATATTATATTAATATAAAGAAAATAGAAATAAATAAGTAAAATAATAAAATAAATAAATCGCAGTGTGGCCTCGTTCGCAACAACCGTTACACGTGCCGTTACTGTTGACTATTTCAAACTTCTAACTTCCTAAAGAATACCAGGATGTAAACAAAAAATTCATCTACCACACGGTTACCATATTGATTCTTGATAATAACTGTGTTGGTCGAAAGTACTTGAACCAAGCAACAAAAAAGTATAAACTTCGGTTGGTTTATCGACAGCTTTGAGCTGAATATACGAAAATTGATGTGATTAGTAATTCGAAAATTAGAAAAATATAAGAAAAATTAGTCAAGCGAGACAAGGTCTGTGTATTTAATTTTTATTATACTTTTCAAACTTCCGGTTAAGTTGTTGAGTATTATATTCGAAGTTGTGAATAAACAATTTCATATTTTTCTTTAAGTACCTTTGACTTAACGGGTATTATCCTTCATCTGCTTCTTGGTATTCATTCGGACGCTGGACGTTTGAAATAGTCTAAAATGACGTTATATATATTACATGCTCAACGCATATGTACATATTACTTTAAAATTATTTCAGTGAATTCAGGTCTTTGGGTTGATATCCAATTTTTTAATAAAATGTAAACTTCAGGTTTAGACCATAGAACATCTTGTCTTCCTGTGAAACCAGTTTCTCTCCAGGCATGTTCAGTTTACAGCAAGAACAGGTTCAATTACCCTACGCCCATAGACTGTGATTTCCCTTTTTGTAAAAAATAAAACATCCAGAAATACATCCGCTAAAATAATCTTTATAGTTTAAAATGCCGATTTATAATCCATTTAGAACTAACACACACACACACACACACATACACACACACACACACACACACACACATATATATATATATAAATGTTTTCTTGAATGTGACACCTTTTGTACAGCTTAGTAATTTTATTACTTCTGTACATATTACAACTTAAAAAACAAACATTGAAAACATATTAGCGACGAGCCCTATATATATATATATATATATATATACAGTGGCGCCCAAAATTGAGGAACAAAAAATTAAAACTTCGATATCTAAAAAAATGTCCAATTTTTATGAAATTTTCAATAAATGTAGACAAATGGCATTTCATTTATGATTTAAATCTTTAAGGTATTTAAAATGATAGAGAGGTCACAATGATTCATTTAATTCTTTCCTTAATATATGTGTGCAAATATTTAATATGCGGATAATCTTCTTGAAAGATGGACATAGTGGCACGAAACTACAGAGTCGGCGACAGTTACAGTTATGTAATTCTTTTCTCTATATAAAATAATATATATATATATATATATATATATATATATATATATATATATATATATATATATAATGTAAATGGGTAAATATAGGTAATCATACTAGTGAGTAATCGTATACAAATACATATAAATATATATATAGCGTGAGAAAAAACAATGTTTAGTAACATAGCCATTTAATATATATATTAAAAAATATACATAATATTTAACATTAATTGCACAACTCCGAGTTTCATGCCGAAGCAATTTTCAAGAGCTGGAATTATTATATTTATTTTTATTTAAATAAAAATAATAATTCCAGTAAGATATTATGCATATTTCTATACATACATACATACATATATATATATATATATATATATATATATATGGTAAAAATATATTTTTAAAGTATGTTAAATTTATAAGTAGAAGTGCTCAATATCAGACATAGAGCGTATGTAAATATAAATGTAGACACTGAGGACAACCCAAGTGGTAACAGTCTGTTTCATGCTTATACACAATCTACATGCCATGGCCTGAACATTGCATTGAAGCATGAAACCGTCCTTCTGCCATTGTTGTTGTCCTAAGTGTTCCATTATATATATATATATATATATATATATATATATATATATATATATATATATATGAATTAATGATCAAATGCAAATCCAGTATGGATTTGAATCCAACAAAATGATAAAAGAAAAGAAGAAATACGAAACATATATCAATCTAAAATGTTTCACTTTTATTAAAACTGCGTCAGAGATTGAGAGAAAACAGATGGTTTGCATTTTTATTGAAGATTATCATAATATGACTAAAGGTGGATAATTATGGACTAATTATGTCAAAGTTGGGAAAAGGGGAACTGTATGAATCCAAAGATAATAAACACTATTTACATTGTTAGGACTGTTGTCCTCATCTTTATTGCCATATTCACGATGTTTTGGCCGTTGTACGCTCCGGCCTTCTTCAGGTGACTGGAATTTCGAACTGAACCTTTTATTTCGTCCACCGGGGTTGATTGTTCTAGTTCCACATGTCATGCCTTTTCCAGATGTCTCATTTATCTCCCGTGGTGGTAGCACCTGTTAGGGCCCCTGCTATGAGCAAATAGTTGACCCCACAACCTGACTCAAAACACTATGAAAGTGTAAAAATAGGTTTTAATACCAGAAATAAATATTTGAAAAAAGAAAATATTACCGGAAATAAAACTCTTGTCAGCATTAAATAACCCATTGAGTTTAATATGCCACAAAACAAAACAAACCAAACTATACATTTAAAAAAAAAATATTACCAGCTATACATTTTTGAAAAACAAGGGAAATTTTGTCGGTATTAAAAAACCCATTGTGGTTGATATGCCGTAAAACAAACCAAACCAAACTAATACGCTCATATGTTTTAAACACATCATGTACAACTATGAAAGATATGGATCTATTCAAGATAATAATATACTGTCAAATTATTACCAAATATGATTTCTCAACCCTAATTTGTAAAACAAAATTAACCTTTAGCTATATATTTTTTAATCTTGATAACGTTTTTATTTCAAGATCATTGATATCTCAACTTCAAGCTTCCAGAAGTGGAACATAAATAAGATTATATTTATCATGAATTTAATGTATCAATTAAAATTAATGCTTTTTATTCTTGATCATGTTTTTTTCAGTATATATTAAGACGTATAAGGGGTACATCGAGGCGGTGTAATGGTTAGCATTCTTGTCTCGCTAGAACAGTTACTACTGAGTAGTGAGTTCGATCCTCACTGGGTGTCACCTACATTCGGCCTTGTGTCACATCTAACCTACGCTTAGAAAATCAGTATTAAGACGTCTACGAGTTTCTTACAGCAATCTGAATATAATTTTTAATGTGAAAAGTGAATATTTCTTAGGATATTACTCTCCATTTTTTTTTTTTTAATAAATTTCTAATAAATTATTTTTCATAACTTAAATTTGTTTTTGGTATAAATTTGGTGCGAGTTGAAAAAAGGGCGTCTGTATTGTCCCAGAGTGATTTTATTCGAACCGGTGAAGCTGAAAAGGCGCGACTCCATGAATCTCCTGATGTTATGTGTAGCCCAATTTTTAAACTTTGTATCATAACTGGAAACAAGACAATAAAAAATGAATACAAATGAACAAATTAATAAACAAATTGGTTAAAAATGAAATCGATGAACGCTTATTCTGAGACATCAGCGTTCGTTGGTACTTAATTTCGCGAATAATGTTTTTTCTTTCTTTTTTTTTTCGTTTTTCTTCTTTGCCGCTGCTCCTATGCGCGTTCAGAACATCAGACCAGACAAACACTAGCAAACACATCACAGTCATCAATGTGCAAGCTAATTTTACTCCATCACTCTTCGATTCCCTCCACATACCATTCCCCTACTTGCCAAACATCGCTTCATCATACATTGTGTCATTTTCGCTGTTTGTCATATTTTCGTGAGGAATTTTTCAGGCATGCTCTTGCACCGACATACATACTCACTTGCACACCGACCCACGCGCAAAGTCACCACACATATAGATACATACACGCACACAGAGGCATGTACACATGCTCCATGAAAGAGAGAGATAAGGAGAGAAAAAGAGAGGGAGAGATAGAGAGAAAAAGAGAGATAGAGATAGATAGAGAGAGGGAGAGATAAAGTGAGATAGAGAGAGGGAGAGAGGACACTGCTATACATGAGCGTCATTTGCGATAATCGTCAGAAAATTCATTCATTATTGTTCGTACATCGTAATCTGGTAATTCGTGACAAGTCAAGAGTACCTGGTACTATAGTCATCATCTGGTAGTCCCGCCCCTTACCCACTGCTCATGCCCTCCCCTTCTTCTGACATCAACTCAAATAGAAATTCTTCGCATTTAACACAGTTTGTGCTATATTCACTGAGGTTGAAATAAAGTTAGTCTTTTACTCTTATTGGCTGTTGATGAACATTAAAAAAATGTTATTTCCTTCTTACTTGATGAGGTAAATGAAACGGTTTTATACATTAATATTTTTATCTTAAGAGAAACGATTCAATTTAGACGTTTTAAAATTCGCCCTTGTCTATTTTTTAAAATAAAGACTGAATTAGTATTAAGCAATATTTTCTTAAATAGGATTTATCAACGTATCAACATAGAAGTAAATAAATGTAATGATTTTCAAATAATAATCTAAAACGATGCAATAACTGCATCATATTACATTGGAAATAGCACATTTTACAATGTCTTTTAATAAAATAAGTAGACAAAACGCGCATACACACACACATATATATATGTATATAATACCAAATGTAAAAATATATATTTCTTTCTAAATTTAAAGCCACCAAAGTTCGTGCGTATGTGTAGTCACAACAACGAAAACAAACGCAGTCCAATGAAGACCTAATAACTGAAACGCGTCACAATTTTTTCTAAATTGTTATACACCATCTCCGTCAAAAACTGTTATTGATATATGGAAATTTATATAAAACTTATCCCATATATATATTATATATATATATATATATATATATATATATATATATATATATAAATATATATATATATATATATATATATATATATATATATACGCACACACACATATGCTTCAATTAGAATGATTAATGTCAATTTACAATAAAGAAAAGTGGTGATTTACGCAGCAAAATAGGTAGAGTAATTTAATTTATTTAATGGGATCTAGAATTTTCTAAGATTTGAAGAAACGAATATCTAAATGTTCAATGTTTTGTGGTAAGACGAACGAAATGTTGATTATAGCCTGGCACGAAGGAAGGTACATATTTCTATGACGTCAAACGATATTATCCTAAAATCATCATTTTCTATCTATCATTTTAATTCAGTACGTCTGCGAATATGGTTCTCCACAATTTTTCTTGTATCTTAATATATTGTTTAGTTTTGGAAGACATCTTTTGCTATTCCAGTACAATGATTTATATTGCATCTATGCTAGGGGACGTTAGTTACAGTTTCTGCAGAGGAAGGAATAATCTTTTGTGATTTAAAATTTGAACAAATACAATATGTCCAGACCATCAGTATAACCTTCTACGATAAATTCCTTCTAAATAGTATCCTTCACAACGTTTAGGTCAATAATTGGTAAGGTTTACAGGAACATTCGAAATGCATGATCGCTGAGCTCACTTCCAGAATCCAATAACTGTACATCGAAGATGGTGGGTTGCGAATCCGAAATTGAAAGCAAACGATCTAACCACACGATCCAAAATACAAACATACACACATGATTGTGTACAACAGAGAGTATGTGTGTATTCACACAACTGTTGAAGAATAAATACATCTACACAATTTAATTCAAAGGAACATTCCTTCGATATGAGATCAGATTCCCATTAAGTCACTTGATAAAAGAAACCGGGTTCATATGGTTGCAAATCAAACGCTCTGACTAATCAACCACGCACTGATACAGACATATACAAAAGTATAAAATACATACATGCATACATAAAACAGACACATGAATAGATTCTGGGAGAGGGAAACACCTGGCGTAGTTTAAAATTTCAACAAGATCAATACGTCCAAACCAACTAATTAAATTCCCTGCACAACGGTAAGGTTTCCAGAAACATTCGAAAGGCTCACACGCTGAGAACATATCCACAGACTGAAAATTGCAAATCGACTATGGGGTGATTCGAATCAAGAATGGAGATGGAACGTACTGTCAGCCAAACACACATATATACGCAGTTGAATATGTTAATCTTTATGCACATCACTGTTTATGAGGTTGTCAGTGACCTCACAACAAACGACAAATAATTACATCTACCCAATTTCACTCAAAGGAATATTACTTCGACGCTAACGTCGACACCACTTTGAGGTGTCACTTGATTAATCGTGGCGAGTTTGGAATCAGTATGAGAAGGCCGCAAATCAAACGCTCTAACCGCTCGACTACGCATCAATACATATATACAAACGTATAAACATACATACAGGAATACCTAAAAGAGACACATGAACGACATATCCTGCGTACTTCAACTATTTCCAAATCATCGGCAGGAAGTTCTACAAACTATTCCATCAAACTAGTGTCCGTCAGAATATGTCCCCAATAGGTGGTATGGTTTCCAGAAACATTCGAAATGCACACGCGCTGCCCACATATCCACAGGTTTAAAAACGCAAATCGATTATGGTGTGATTCGAATCAGGAATGGGCATGGAACGTACTAACTCCTCGGCCACACACACATACATTTGTATTTGTCAATTTTTACGCACATCACTGTGTCTGAGTGTGTCAGTGTCCGCACAATAATCGACAATTGATTAAATCTACAGAATTTCACTCAAAGAAAGGATACTTCGATGCTAACATCGTCTCCCCTTTCAGAAGTCACTTGATTAAACGTGGCGTGTTTGAAATCAGTATGTGAAGGCCGCAAATCAAAAGCTGTCAACACTCGACTACGCATCAATACATATATACAAAAGTATAAACATACATACCCGAATACATAAAACAGACACATGAACGACATATCATGCGTATTTCCAATACATCCAAATCATCGGCACGAAGTTCTACAAACTATTCCATCAAACTAGTGTCCCTCAGAATATGTATACAATACGTGGTAGGATTTCCAGAAACTTTCGATAGGCTCACACGCTGAAATCATATCCACAGGCTGAAACGTGCAAATCGATTAGGGTGTGATTCAAATCAGGAATGTGGATCGAACGTGGATCGAACTGCTCGGCCACACACACATACATACGCAGTTATATTTGTCATTTTTTATGCAAGCGACAGTGTATGCGTGTGTGAGTGTCCTCACAATGATCGACTAATGATTACCTCTTCCTAATTTCATTGAAAGTAATATTACTACGAGGCTAACATCGCCTCCCATTTCTGAAGTCACTTGAGTAATTTTGGAATCTGTATGTGTAGTCCGCAAATCAAACGCGCTATTCACTCGACTACGCATCAATGCATATATACAAACGTATAAACATACATACATGTATACATAAAACAGACACATGAGCGACATAACATGCGTACTTCCAATACATCCAAATCATCGGCACGAAGTTCTACAAACAATTCCATCAGCCAAGTTTCCCTCAGAATATGTGCTAAATAAGTGGTATGGTTTCCAGAAACTTTCGAAAGTCTCACATACTGAGATCATATCCACAGTCTTAAAATTGCAAATCTATTATGGAGTGTTTCAAATCAGGAATGGGCATGGAACGTACTAAGTACTCGGCCACACACACATACATACGCAGTTGTAGTTGTCAATTTTTATGCAAGGCTCTGTGTATGAGTGTGTCAGTGTCCGCACAACTATCGACAATTGAGTACATCTCCAGAATTTCACTCAAAGAAAAGATACTTCGATGCTAACATCGCCTCCCCTTTCAGAAGGCAATTGATTAATTGTGGAGAGTTTAGAATCAGTATGTAAAGGCCGCAAATTACACAAATCAAACGCTGGATCCACTCGACTACAATACATATATACAATCGTATTAATATACATACATGAATACATAAAACAGACACAAGAACGACATATCATGCGTACTTCCAACATATCCAAATCATCGGCACGAAGTTCTACAAAATATTCCATCAACTTAGTGCCCCTCAGAATATGTCCTCAATAGGTGGCTCACACACTGAGATCCTTTCCACAGGTTGAAAAGTGCAAATCGATTAAGGTGTGATTCGAATCAGGAATGGGGATCGAATGTACTAACTACTCGGCCACACACACATTACATACGCAGTTGTTTTTGTCAATTTATATGCACATCCCTGCGTATGGCTGTGTCAGTGTCCGCACAACTATCGACAAATGATTACATCTACACAATTTCACTCAAATTAATATTACTTCGATATTACATCGCCTCCCCTTTTACAAGTCACTTGATTAATCGTGGCGAGTTTGGAAACAGGATGTGTAGGCCGCAAATCAAACGCTATACCCAGGCGACTACACATCAATACATATATACAAACGTATAAAAATACATACAAAAACACCCAGCATAGACACATGAACGACATATCATGCGTACTTACAATACTTCCAAATCATCGGCTAAATCTTCTTCATACAATTTCACCTAACTAGTGTCCCTCAGATTATGTCCTCAGTATGTGGTATTTTCCAGAATCTTTCGAATGTCTCACACGCTGAGATCATATCCACAGGCTGAAAAATGCAAATCGATGAGATCATGTTCATTGCATGAAAAATGCAAATTGATTAGTGTGTGATTCAAATCAGAAATGGGGATCGAACGTACTAACTACTCGGCCACAAACACATACACACTCAGTTGTATATGTTAAGTTTTATGCAAACCATTGTGTGTGAGTGTCCTCACAAGTATCGACTAATGATTACATCTTACCAATTTCATTGAAAGAAAAATTACTTCGATGCTAACATCGCCTCAGATTTCAGAAGAAACTTGCGTAATAGTGGCGTGTTTGGAATCTGTATGTGTATACAGCAAATCAAACGCGCTAATCAACAGATTACTCAACAATAAATATATACTAACGTATAAACATACATACATGAATACATAAAACAGACACATGAACGACATATCATGCGTAGTTCCAATACTTCCAAATGATCGTCACGAAGTTTTACAAACTAT